AGCCATAAGATTAAAAAGTGTCTGAAAGAAAAATACTTGGACTGTTGTCTAAATTTAAAATTGTTTACAGAAAAAGAAAAACTTCAGCTCTTGGCTAATCTTTTCAAGGAGAATTTATAGGAAGGACTTAAGGTGGCTAAACATACTGAATTGCAACTTTGACTGATTGATAATTGCCCCCTGAATAAAAAAAACACCTGGTACAAAATACTGCCTTCACTGAGGCCTTGATAATTGGAAATATATTGGACTACAAAAGCTATATAAGAGCTATATGAGATTGGGTTGTGTGACTTTGAGATTGATAGGTTACATAACTAATTATGGAGACTAAAATATTGATGAAAGACTATTTGAAGGGGGGGAGACAACATGGATATCGTACACTTATCAAAAAATGACAAGAAACCACACTCAATATTTACCACTGAAAGATTTAATCTGGAACATCAAAGACCTCCAGAAGCAATATTTCAAAGCAAGACAAATACTTTCCAGGAGGAAATGTATGTAATGTTACCACAGATACAAATGACAATAGATTTAAACCACGAGGAAATCAGAAATAATTTTGGTGACATAAGGACAACACCCAGAAAATGACGACGAAAGAATAAACAAATCAGATAATAGAACACAAACTAGAAGAACATGACCAAATCAACAAAGCTATAAACAATTTAATACAAATAGAAAAAAATCTACAAGACTTTGACATAACAACAAAAATGGAATGGACTATAGAATTCCCAAGTGAATCAACAGAGTTTGGGAGACAGAAAGTATATATTTTACCTATACTATCTTCTTTACTCCTCATAAAACTTACAAAAACACAGGAACTGCGAGGTAAGTGGAATATATCAACTTGGAAAGCTACTTGGCAAAAGAGAAAGGCAAGAGACAGATTCAAGAGATTCGACTCACCCTACCAGATGGAGTATTACATCAGCAAACACTTGTTTGAATATGGCTAAAAGAATAGAGAACTTTGAAAATAAAGGGGCTCTACAACAAGAGGGATAAGAGATTTAAATAGTATAGTATGTTTTACAATATATGAAATGTAAAAATATTGGGATGATGTAATTTTATAAATATAAGTGAAATATAAGCTGATCAGAAAGGATGTTATATGCAGATACTATAAGATAGATAAGAAATACAGTATTTTTATAACGTATGAAATATGAAAATATTGGGATGGTGTATGTACTTAAATAGAAAATTTTGGATATTTAGATGACTAACATTGAGACAATCATGATTGATAAGAATAAATTGAATATAAAGGAAAAATTAAGCTTAAACAAAAACTACGAAAATAGGATAGATGGTGAACTAATGAGATGATGTCTATAAGAATAATATAAACTGATGATAAGTTATCATTATCTGTACAAACATGAAAAAACGTTTATATTTATTTATACATAGAAAATATTAAGAATTATATCTGTTTAAGGTTGAAGAAGGAGAATACAATTGGGAGAAGGGAAGACCAAAGAAATATATTATTAATTAATATACTAATTATGGAATTATCAAAATCAATCATTATTGACTGTTAATTATACTGTCTTTTTTTTCAAATATATAAACCAAGACAACATGCTGTACACCAGGCACTGGAGATTGTTTTGTAAAAAACAAATAAAATATTTAAAAAAAATATTTTAAGGCAAGGTGATCACCCAGATACTGTATAAAACTGAGACTGGGACTAGAATGTTATTGTCCAATTGGAAGTATTCCAAAACAGGAATGTTTTAGATTCTCCCCAGGTATACTTGCCTATTTAAGAACAGAATTAAGGCCAGTCTCCATCATGGTCAGAATATATCATTTATTGTTGGGGCACTATGAGAAGCTTGAAAAAACTCAAGAATCCCATTTTTCAAAGTCTGTTTTCTCAATTGCTAAGTTGGGAACCAATGGAAGAACTTTATCACCCATCTTACAAATGTACCTTTGAGAAAACATGTTTCTTGGAACAGAGAAAATATTAGAGATTGGCTTTTTAAAAGTAATATCAATAAAGATGCCACTGTAGTATAAACATTCAAATTTTCAACTTGGTCTCACCATTATAAAATATATAAAAGCCTCTCCCAGTACCTAGTTAACACTACCAGTGCTTCGCTGCAATAAGCTTTAATGTCCTTTCACTTGCAAATTGTGTTCTCCACATATTTTGAAGGGAGATTTCATAAGCTCCCTGTCAAATAAGGTCTCTTTCCATGGAATGGAACAACTCGCCACAGTCAACTCCTATGGGGTCCCAAAGATGCTTTTCAAAAGGCAACTGAACTTTCTAGTTTTTTCCTTGAAAATGTTTCGCTTCTCATCCAAGAAACTTCTTCAGTTGAATGGTGGGGAATGGAAGGATTTATATTCTTCAAGTCATTACTTTTGTTCTGCTGTCATTTAACAGAATAACAAAGTTGGAGGAGGCCTTAGAGGTCTTCTAGATTAGAACATAAAACATAGAATAACAGAGATGGAAGGGACCTCGGAAGTCTTCAAGTCCAACCTCTTGCTTGAACAAGAGACCCTATAACCATTTCAGACAAATGGTTGTCCAGTCTCTTTTTGAAAGCTTCCAGTGATGGAGCAACTACAACTTCTGAAGGCAAGCTATTCCATTGGTTGACTGCTCTCACAGTTAGGAAATTTCTCCTTAGTTCTAGTCTAATCCCCAGCTCAAGCAGGAGACCCTATACCATTTCAGACAAATGGCTCTCCAATCTCGTCTTTAAAATCTCTAGTTAAAAAGCACCTACAACTTCTGAGGCAAGCTGTTCCACAGATTAATTGTTCTCACTCTTAGGAAATTTCTCCTTAGTTCTATGTTAGAACTTTCTTTGATAAGATTCCATCTTGCTTAAGGGTAGAGCATCTTCTCCTGCCTTCAGGTGCTGTGAAGAATAGGTTGACCACCTCTTCTTTGTGACAGCCCCTTCGATGTTAGAAGACCGCTATCATGTCACCCCTAGTCCTTCTATTCATTCAACTAGACATACCCAATTCCTGCAACCATTTAGCCTCCAGTCCTCTAATCATCTTTGTTGCTCTTCTCTGCACTTTTTCTCGGGTCTCAATATTTTTTTGTATCATGGTGACGAAAAGTGGATGTAGTTGTAGTATTCCAAGTATGGTCTCATCAGTGCAATATGAAGTGGCACTAGCATCTCACATGATCTTGATACTATCCTTCTGTTGATTGGCATTTTTGGCAGCTGCAGCACACTCTTGGCTCATATTTAAATGGTTGTCCACTAGGATTCCTACATCCCTCTCACAGTTACTGCTATTGAGTAAAATACCATCTATTCTATATGGTATTTGTGCATTTGGTTCTTGCATACCTGTAAAAGATTACTTTTTTCACCACTAAATTGCATTTTGCTGGATAGGACCCCGTGTTCAAGTCTGTCAAAATTCTTTTGGATCTTGAGCTATCTTCTAAAGTGTTGACTATTGAACCCAAATTGATATCCTCTTCCAGTCTGGTGAGTTTTCCTTCCATCTCTTCATCTAAATCAGGGGTGTCAAACTGCCAGCCCGTGGGCCCGATGTGTCATGAGCAAACCACGCCCATCCCATTGCCAGCAATGGGGAAAAAGTTCCGATGCGTCACGTGACATCGCAAGTTTGACGTGTCTGATCTAAATCATGTATGAAGATGTTGAAGAGTACTCATTTTAAGACAGAACGTTGGGGTACCCCATTGCATGTTTTTCTCCATGTAGATGTAGCTCCATTGAGGACTACATGTTGAGTGCGGTTGGTCAGCCAGTTAAGAATCCATCTAGTGATGATGCTGTCTAACCCACATTTTTCTATCTTACCAAGTAGCATGTTGTGGTCTACTTCAAGGGTCTTCAAACTTGGTCCTTTTATGACTTGTGGACTTCAACTCCCAGAATTCCTCGGCCAGGCACAATGTGAAGTCCACAAGTCAAAAAAGGGCCAAGTTTGAAGACCCCTGGTCTACTTTGTCAAATGCCCTACTTTTAAAATTTGAAAGAAATAAAGCCTTGGCTTTATTTTGCTGTATCTGTTTATATCTAATACTCATTGTATTACTTTATTTCATAATTTTATTGTTTTACTGTTATTTTATTGTTTTACTGTTATTTTATTGTACAGCAAACTATATTTTATGATCTGTGGTTACAACAATAAATTTGATAAATTGATTCTTACTGGTATTCATCTTGAAGGAGATCCTTAGAATTCATACATTGTTTTGTATAGTTTTATATTTTTTATCCTATAATAATCCTGCCTGGACTTCTGATGAGGAACAGATGTAAAAATGTAGTATAAATAAGTAAGTTAATTTTACCTGTGCTTGTTTAGATTTAGACAATACTACTTCTAGATACTTCTCAATTTACAATCACAATTGGGACCAGAATTTCTGTTGCTGAGCAAGTTGATTGTTAAGTTAGGCTTAACAACTATTAAGTCAATCACTGCAGTTGTTAAATGAATCATGTGGTCGCTAAGAGAATCTGACTTCCCTCACTGACTCTGCTTGTGAGAAGTCAGCTAGGAAAGTCACAAATGGTGATCATATGATTCTGGGGCATTACCACTATTGTAAATATATGCTATTGTAATTTTGATCAGGTGACCATGAGGATGCTGCAAAGATTATAAGAATGGACCAGATTGGTTGTAAATCACTTTTTAGTGCTTTTGTAATAGTTGCTAAACAATGGTTGTAAGTTGAGGACCACTTATAATGTTTTAGGAACAGGGGAATCTGTTCTCCAGGTATTCTCCAGGTGTTGCTGAATTAGATTATGCAGGACCAATTGTGGAGGCTAATGAGTGTTGGAGATTAACAATTTTGCCATGAGGACACTTAAATCCTATATTCTGAAGGGGGACATGTCATATTGTTTCATTAAGATTTTTTTTTACCAAAGATATACTATGGTTAATAATAATTTCAACCAGCGAATGCAAAAAATTAAGAATACAAAACAGCCTCTTGAAAGAAATTTAATAATATGGTAAGCCAAAACTTGTTTCAGGAAATAACAATACAATCATTTGTTTTCTTATTTTTTTTTAAAAAACTTTTAATTTGTACAATAAGATTCCTGAGATTTAAATTAAACTAGCTATACTATGGTTATTTTTCTCAGTTTCAAAATTATCAGCATTCTTCTATGCAATTACACATCCTCCTTTCTCTTTAAAAGGGTTCCTGTCTTCAGGAATGCCTTTCACTAGAGGGTCTTCTCCTGATCTTTCTTCAATATAATTTTTAATTTCTTCAGAACACTTAGACACCTTAAGGGGAAAAAAAGAGAAAAGAAAAAAAACATATTTAAATCTCCTTTTGTAAAGGTAGGAAAGATTCCTTTGATATGCAGAATTTATGAAATTGAGAGAGAGAAGAACTGTTGCCTTGTTATGTATCATAACAAGCATAACTTGGTGTTTATGAAATACCTTGCATAATGTTTATAATGAATGGTTGCATAATAAAATAAACAGCATTCTTTTTCCCATTTGCTGGATAAAACTCTCTTGCTGTTCTGTAAGGATGGAAGTAAGCAGTATTTTTCCATACAAGGACAGCCTAAAGCTATATAAACTTTGTCACCGATTACCTTTGTAGGAATTCAGGTGCCTGGCAATAACTGGTGGCACTGATAAAGTCAATAGAACCAGGATATAAATCAGCAGTGGGGATACATTTCATGCTGATAGGTTTGGTGTGTGTTTTTTTTTTGCCAACTCAGAGATGTATAGTATATGTAGATATGGTAGGGTAGTCTAAGATATTAAAAGTCCAAGACATTTTGATATTTGAAAAACAAGACTTGGAAACTGAAATATTGTGAATTTGCAAACAAGGATGATACAAAAATTGGATAATACTCTCTGTAGAGGCAGTCCTAGTTAAAATTCTAATTATGGGGTTTGGGCATGTTGTCAATATATACTGTACATAATATGGAAGATTCTAATACAAGAAGTGCCATACAGAATTGAGGTCACTGAAACACCATATTTGCATTAAATATATAAATTAAATATAAATTAAATGGAAGAATAGAAATTCCTGGCATAATATAATCATTACTATATGAACTGTAGCTATTCTAAAATTTTATTTATAATGACTTCACTTAAGACTGACAAAGATATCTATATACTGTATGAAGGTGCCCTAAACCAACTTTGTTCAATTCAGATCCACCAATGGAAATGCTTGGATAATCTTTTATTTGAAAAACAAATTGAGAAGAATCCGTCAATGAGTCTGCTTGAGAAAGCATCTGAGAAAAAAACCATTTGTTCAAAAATCAGGGAAAATAGTTATTTTATCAGGACTAGCAGAATTATATTTCTTTTATAAAGGGTAACATAAATACAGTTCAGGGTTTACCAAAAGTTTAAAGGACATGTTTTAAAATTGTTTATTGTAGAAAGTATTTGTATATAGTTCTATTTCTTCTTTTAAAATCCTTAATTAACAAAAAAAGGCAAGTATTCTCTGCTTTCTTATTTAAGTGCCAAGTTTCCTGCCCATCAGATTTTTGTTGTTGTTGTAAGATATTTTGATTAAAAACATTTAGGAAAAGTCTTTTTGTTTATCACAGCTAAATAAGGTAGGTACCCAATTCTGGGCACCAATAGATTATGCAAGCATTCTAAAAATATAAAGTTACAGCTTAGCACTTTTGTTAGAAGGATGTTCAGCTGTTTAGGAAAAAAAGAAAAATGTAATTTGCCAGTCAGTGCAATATTTTGGGGTCTATATAGATTGTTCCTTTTAGCCCTCTGACTTAGCATGTTCTGTGTTTGAATTTATATAAAATACATTGCATATTTGAGTTGTGTCATTGTTAGGGTCTAATCCTGGCCACCATATTCAGAGTTGAATCCAACCTTTGAGAGTCTTAAGTAGAGTTTCCCAGCTGACCTATTGAATAGGTTGGATGATATCAGAGATAGAATCTTGGAAGTGCTTTATTCCAAAGTCAATTAAAGCTCCTCTCAATGGAAAAGTCTTCATAATTAGAGGAGATCTATGCCCCAAAACATTTTTAGACAATGCTTAAAGACATACTCTACTCTGTTTAAATAAATAATAAATCTCAGTTCATATAGGAATTTATGGGATAATGTTCCAAGATCAAACTGCTGGTTTGATGGCTTTTAAAATGCTTATTGTTATATGTTTATATATTCTTTGTAGATGTTTAAATTTCACTGTTAATGTTTTTAAAGATTTGGATATGTGTGTGTGTGTGTGTGTGTGTGTATGTATGTATGTAAACCAAATAAGAAAGAAAAAAACGAACACCAGGATATAATAAACCAGACTGTTTAATATAAACAAGCCTGTGGTTAAAAAAAGTCACTAAGCTTTCGTCAGACCAAACTGCCGATGTCATCAGAGTTGGAGTAAAAGGAGATCAGGAAGGCAGCTCATATAACCTCCTGCCTCTGCGCCCGGCTCCTTGAGCGTGTCATCGGCCCGTTGATTGTATTAATCTGTACCGCACAGAGTTGTTCCGCATCAGGCAAACTGTCCTTGGCTCCGCTAGTTATTTTACGATCCTCAAGTGCTCTTTTAGAGCGTGTGCAAGCACTTGGAGGGCGGCTGTCAACCCGTCCCTGCGCCCAGTCTCCCTCCATCCCAGGGCCATTATCCTCCCCCACCCCCAAGGCCGTTGTCGTCTCACCCATAATTCCTCCACCCCAGTACTGCAAAAAGCAGCTGTTCTGGCATTCCTGCTCTCCGTCTTCCCCCTCCCTCCCCCTCCTTCCAGATCGCCTCTGCGCGTCCGTCCCCGGCTTGTTTATATTAAACAGTCTGGTTTATTATAACCTGGTGTTGTTGATTTTTTTCTTATTTGGTTAACATAATGCCCAGGATTTGCATTTTTAGTATTTTAAAAGACTATATGTGTGTGTGTGTGTGTGTGTGTGTGTGTGTGTGTGTGTATAGAGAGAGAACTAATGAATACATATACATCAAATCAAAATAATATTTAAAATGAATGCATAATACACTGTTAAAATAAATGTGTTTCTTTTAATTGGAGAAATAGAATCTGTACTATCTCAATATAAAACAGATTTTTTTACTTGAAATTATGGCTAGCTCTATAAATATCAGCAATTGGGTATCATTCAAAAACAGCACAAATATTAAACACAGTGTTAATATATATATATATATATATTAATACATTCTGGTACTTACATTGCCACTGAAATAATTTTAAAAATTTGTCATTTCTGCTAATGCACTGGCAATGCTATACTTATCTACTTTATTACATGTTCAGGAAATACATGGTTGTCCAGTTTTCTGGAAACAATTTTCCTAGTCAGGTAAATGCCTCATTTTTATGTCATGGAAATTATCTATCATAGCAATCACATTTTTTTTCCTTTTGACCATTCATTTCTTTCATGCTGTTCTATAACTTGGCCCTTTAAGTCTTATATTTAAGCTATAAAACATCCCAAAATTAACTCACTGCTTGTACAACCCATAATTAGCCTTTTCACGCTTCTTTCCTTTCCTGATAATTATATATTTTCTTTAAGCTGTGTATGTGTCATCCATTTTGCCATGAATATTTAACAGACATTCTCCACAGTCAGTCATTCCCAGGCTGTGGTTGGGATTACAGGTAGGAAGGAGAAGATAGTGAGAACCAGTAGAAAGAGCCCAAGGCATTTTGGTCCCTTCCCAAAAAGTTCCATTCTGGATTGTAAAATATAATAAATTAACTATAGACTAGTTATGGGTAAACAAAACAGACCTATAAATAATGAAAATGCTATCACCAGCAGAATCCTAGGCATTTTATGCCCAAAGTAAGAAAATGCTAAAAGTCCCATTCTTGGTTATTAAATATAGTAATATATTAAATTGGTTCACCAGCTTTGCTTCTCATAGGCATGGCAAAAGACAGAAAGACAGAAAGACAGAAAGAAAGAAAGAAAGAACTCACAAAAGGATAATCTCAGTGAAGGCTGATTGTACTCATTGGGTACAACCTGCTATAATGCTACAGTAAGAAATGAATAGAAATAGAGGAATAAGTGAGAGAGGAAAGAATCAGGAAAGTAAAGATGAGCAATCCGCCTAACAAGTCATGTCTTGTTAGAAGATCCATTTATCATTAACTAACAGATAATTTATCAGGTAATTTAAAAAAGCATTATCAGAATGACATCAATAAAAATAAGAGGACAAAAAGCAACTTGTACATCAAATGTATCCCTGATATGAAAAAAAATAAACAAGAATGCTTCTAATGCTTCTAAAAGCTAAATAAACCTGCGACTGTACATTTTCAGAACTTTTTAGTGACATCAGGCTGATCTTTTTAACAATGGAATACAATATAAACTATGTCTACTCACTTTACTTCAGAGAGATTGTGGGGTGTGGAGGGGAGAGGTAAGCATTGTATTAGTCTAGTAAATCTTTCTTTATTCTACAGCTTTGTCAAAAGAAAATGTGCAATAAACCTACCAGTAGAAAATATTTGCCTCCTTAAGTGAAGCAACTCAGCTCCAATGCATTTATAACCCACATGGAATACATTGCAAAACAGATATTTTTTCCAACACACACACAGCCACTGAAAACACTGAAATCCTGTTCTTAAAAGTCAGAAGTCAAGAGAGAAAACCATTAGGGTGAACTACTTACAGGCTGCCTTTCCAATTTGACTTCTTTTCGGAGTTGTTCTACTTCCATTTTCAATTTATCCTTCTCACTTAGATCATCTATGTTGATTGCTGGCATTGCTGGGTAGGAGAAAAAAGAAATTGTGAGTTTAGTAGTATATCTGTCTCTGTGTGTATGTGTGTGTGTAAAAAAGTAAAATAAGATTAAGAGAGTACAGCTGATGAAGGAAAATCCTTACTTTTTGTATGAATTCCTCCTTATTTCTCTAAAGTAGCTATTTCTTTTTCTGCCAGCTCTCTCAAGCTCCTAGTAACCATTTGAAGGATTTTAATTCATCAGCAGTATTTTTCCAAATCTGATTACGCCACAAAAATTGCCCCCTCCCCTTCTAGTTTTTATTGCTTCAAACCAAAATGAGGCCTTCCACATTCATGGAAAGCCAGCCAATCTTCCTTCATGTGTCTTCATGCCATGCCTAAATTTGCTAAAATAGCTCTAACAGAAAACACAGACACAAAAAGAATCAGTTCTGGCTACATGGAATTTTGAACTGCTCAGAAATAGGAGAGTTATCATAGAAAAAAAAATCCCCTTGAAAAATTTAATCTGGGATTGGCATACCTGTTTACACTATACAAAGACCTTTGAGTGTAAAATGTCTTCTGTCCATGAAGGGAGCATGGAATGAGTTGTGAGGAGTGGCTGAGTAAAGAGGAGAAAGCTATTAGAGGCAGGATGTGTGCTTCTCCTTTTGTTACAATGGAAATACCAACTATGGTGAGAGTTCCACAGGAAACAGGTTTGCTAAGGAAACATCTGGCTGTTTCCCTGTGCCAAGCTGGAGGACCTAAACAATGGTGGTGTTTGGAAAACTAACATGGGAAAATAGGGAAAGGCAAGCACACAGAAAAGCTTGTCCCTCTAGGCACATGTCCTATATTACTCATTTAGATGGAAGTTCATCTAAGTGAGTGCCCTATGGAATGCCTTTGGACTTACTTCCAAGGAGGCATATATGGGAAGGTTCATGTTTCCCACGCTTCACTTCGATCAAGTTATTATAAAGATGCCCTTTTTTTGTATTTACAATACTCCAAATGGTGATTCCAAATTTGTATTTTTGTTGTTGTTTGCATAAATTGTTTGCAGGCTTTGTGTCCCCTTTCTCACTCTTTATTTTAACTACCCCTGGAACTTGCACTGAATAACCGCAGGACCTCATATTATGAAAAAAAAAAAATACAAAAAACTCCATAGCAAAATAGCTATAACTTGGAATAAGACAGTTTCTAATGATTCTAAAATCATTGGACTGTGTAGCGTTTTCCTTATGGCCAATATTTGTTTTAATATTCCAGGGGTATCCAGACAATATTGCCTACAATTTACAACATGCAAATGAACTATAATTTGCTGGATTAACCCAAAGTTGGGTTAAATGTGCACATCACTTATAGATAGACCACTGAACAACATTTTAATGTGTTGTATAAATACCATTGGAGGGTATGATTTCATAAACCTGTGAAACCACAGCCTATCCTTCCCCACATTAAGATGAGAGCTAGAATGCCATTACTAAATAAAAAAAGATAATCTCACCATGACTTTGTCTACAGGAAACAACCTATTTCATTTAATTTTCACCTTCACACTGAATTATAGCCAAACTGCATAGATTAGAATTATAGAAGACAATGTAAGTAAAAAAGGCAGACTAGTTGTCAACTGGGCTATCATATAAATACAGCCAAAGAGAAAACAGGTAGGAATTATTTTCCTGCCTTCTCCCAAGCAAGGAGATAATGCTTTGGAAAGCCAGAGAAGCTTCTGGAAGTGTCTCGTTAGAGGGTTTCCATGCCTGATAGGGAAGATTTAAGGGCTATATTCAACCCTCACAGAGGCAGGCTGCAATATGACTATAGGTTTCTTATTCATAATGGTTGACTATGGAGTTCTCATAACTGTAGCTTTGATGAGATAAATCAGACACTTTGAAAACCAGCACAAAGTATCAAATGAAACATATAATAAAATATTAATGTATTAAAGTGTATTTATTGGTCCTTTAATTAGATGCTTAGAGTTTATCTGTTTGTTTGTATCCAGCCTTTATTATTTTTTCAAATAGCTCAAAGCGGCGAACATATTAAACACATATTCCTTCTATTTTCCCCACAACAACAACCCTGTGTACTGAGAGAGAATAACTGTGCTAAAGTCACCAAGTTAAGGCAGTGTTTCAGCAGCCTGCCCTTATCAATTTATCACAAGGCCTGACTAATGTAGTTCCCTGTTTCTTTACACCTCCTGAACTAGTAAAGAAAATATAAATTTTATTAGTTTTGCTGTCCCTTGAAAAAGGAAACTAGCCGTACTCTTGTCAAATTCACCTGGCTAAAGAAAAATAAAAAGTTGTGGCTTCAGAATGGATTTTTTTTAAACACAGCTTTTCAATATTCCTTGGTTATTTGGGAGGAAGATTTTTGTGGGCACAGGAGTCATGCCTATACAGTGCACAGTAGCAAGCTGGAGTAGAGGTGTTTGCCTGCAATTAAATGAAGATACTGTGCACATTGGATAATGATGGGTAAGCCAATACAATTCAGAAAACACTTCTTTGTTGTGATACCTATCCTTATGGAATGAGATGCATATACATCCCATTCTTGTGATGTTCTAGAAGTCTTAAAAAACAGCTGGTCTCCCAGGCTTCAGGTAGTATGCTTATGGAGCCCTGCCTGTGGTGGTTTGTTTTTATTTTTAGGTACTGGATACTTTATTTTTTTTTCTTTTCTACTTTTAACTGTAAACCACCCAGGGTTATTCTAGAGTAGGGTAGCCTCTACATCACCACCACCACCACCACCACCACCACATCATTATCATCATAACTACTAAGACAATGACTACTACTATTACTTAGCATCAGCTTTTGTAATGGTTCAGGCATCAGGCTAGAAACCAGGAGATTGTGAGTTCTAGTCCAACCTTAGGCATGAAGCCAGCTGAGTGATCTTGGACCAGTTCCTCTCTTCCTAGGAAGCAAGCAATGGTAAACCATTCTGACAACCTTGCCCAAAAAAAGCTGTGTGGACTTGTTCAGGCAGTCACCAGAAGTTTTTTAAAAAGTTAAAAATTAACACACACACACACACACTATTTAGCACTGGAACTTATAAAACCAGATCCTGTGCAGAATAATTCATACTACATTCTAACTCAAGGTTAATCAACTCCATGAGGGACTGGATTAAAAAGAAACGTTCTTTGAGAACTACATCCATGCATATTTTTTTTGCAGTGTTATAAAACTGGCAGCTTACCAATGCCTTCTTTGAAGATTCTTTTTAAGTTGCCAATCTAGCCAACATCCTACACTTCGCAGATAATCCCCCAAGTACTAATTATCAAAATTATACTGGATCTTGTGCAGTATAAATCCTGGTAGACAATCCATGGAATTGCTTCTGGATGAAATTCTATAGGACTCTCCGCTGAGTTGAAGTTGTATCCACTTAATCCTGAACTGGCAAATAACTAGCATGAATTTTGCTTCTCTCACTTTAGATGCATTCCTACCTTTCTGAAGACACTGGCAAACCACTTGAACTCCTTGAGAGGTAATAGGGTGAAAAGCCTAACAGATTTTATACACTTTGAGGGTGCTGTAAATAGTGTCCAAGCTAGAGGAAAATACTATTTCAACAGATTTTTTCCAAACACAAGACAAGACTTTTTCATTAATGGGCTAGAGATAAGCTAGAGACAATTTCATAGCAGAAAAAATATGTTGCTAGGGCATGTCTTTGCCACTGAAAATGCAAGTGAAAAAGTCTCTTAAAGGGTTCAGAATATTTCCTGCCCTATAGAATGAGATCCATCCAAAGTTCCATAAAGCTCCATCCTAATAATTTCCAGAAGTTTTTAAATGAGAGATCATCAAGGATCCCGCAGTCTTTAAATAAGTTGCTTTATTACCACAGGTTTTTGCCACATTTGTGGCAATGTTTAACGTTGGCAAAAGTCTTTTTAATTAGGCTGATTTTTTTTCCAGCAGTGTAAAAACTGAAGGGAAAAAACCCAGAATATTGCAGTATGTTCAAAATTTATTATGATATCTAAGGACTTTAGTTTGGTACTACACTCAGTGAACAAAAACCATTTCATCCAAAGCGAAGAATTGTTATACCTAACTACTGGTAGTATACAAATAAAAAACATATAGGTGTAACACGATTTTAAAAGGCCATGAAATACAATGTCTCAAGAAAGTACAGGTAGTCCTTGATTTATGACCACAATTGAGCCCAAAATTTATGTTGCTCAGTGGGACTTTTGTTATATGAGTTTTGCCCCATTTTATGACCTTTCATGCCACAGTTTTTAAGTGAATCACTACAGTTGTTAAATTAGTTATATGGTTGTTAAGTGAATCTGTGTTCCCCATTGACTTTGCTTGTTAGAAGGTCATAAAAGGTGATCACATGACCCCGGGACACTGCAACATCATAAATGTTGAGTAAGTTGGCAACTGTCTGAATTTTGATCATGCAATCATGGGGATGCTACAATGGTTGTAAATGTGAAAAATGGTCATAAGTCACTTTTTCAGTAATGTTGTAACTTTGAACGGTCACTAAATGAACTGTTGTAAGTCAAGGACTGCGTGTAGTAATATTTCTGTTCCAAAGGCTGAAGTTCAATGGTTGATCACTTCCTAAATTTCTAGAACTAGCCTGTAAAAGAAGATTTAACATAACTTTCTGTGAATTGGAGTTTTCCAATATATTGAACTATAATTCCCATAACCCAAATCATCATGGTTATGCTTATTCTGACTAAAGTACACTACAGACACTGCAGTACAGAGCAAAAGTTTGAAACATCAGGTTGGAAAACATCTTTCATAGCAACCGACCCCAATTTTAGTTTTCCATTAGCTTCATGGAAAGGTATTTGGGGAGGGGGTATTTTATAAAAAGATCCAGTGTCTTTTAAGCTGAACCTGATGCCTGATGATTTCATATTATTGCTCATGTTGTTTCTTGGCAACTGGATGGCATTGTTTTATCATTGCCCTCTTACGATATTTTTTTCAACTACCCAATATTGGACCTCCAATATTGGACCCTCACCAATTATTCTCTTCCAGGTCAAGGCTGTTTAGCTTCTGGACCTAGGCAAAGCCATTCTGGTGTTGTGTTATGTTGAAGTAGAAGCATAGGTTAGTAGGCTCATGATGAAGCGACAAATATTCAGCCATGTATAAAGCCACTTTTTGGACCAATCTCAAGTGATACTAATTCTTTCAATCTACCACTACTTCCCCCATTTTTCTCTGGTATTCCGATTTTATGCTATATTCATTTCATTCATAACTCTTCTTATGGGGCCTCTCATTCTCCATCTCACTGGCTTCCTAATTAAGTCCGGCTCATCCTTCTCTTTCCAAACATTACTCCTCTGAGGAGGAGAACTACTTCGGGAACGTCAAGAAGGCGATTACTGGCGGGTTATCCTCTCCATTCCCGTTTCCACTACCCCACCCCCCCGCCCGAGAGAGATTTGCCTCGCTCTCAGATCACAGCATGAATCATCCGGCCCTGGAAAGTCGCCCAGCAGGAGGAGGCGGAGGGGGAAAAGGGTTCGGAATCAATAAAAAGGCGCGCGAGAGTTCTGAAGAGAACCAGCGTTATTTGGGGCTCGCTTGCGGGTTGCTTTCGGCTCCAAGTCATGACTACCCATTACGTCTTCTTCGTGTGCTCGCTGTTCCTACTCCTAGAGAGGGCGTGTGCCCAGGAGTCCCCACTGTCAGGTAATCGGTGCGGGGAGCCGCCTTCGCTCTCTTGAAAGGAGGTGGAAAAGGGGTCGCTGCGCTCAAGCTGGGTTTCACTCTTCCCCGGGAATCTGAACTGACTTCTCGCTAGATAAGTGTCCCTTCGCCAAGCCGCTGCAAGTGCTGCCCTCTTGCTGTCCACGGTGGTTCTTAGCTTGTGGGGATGCCGGTTGCGGACTGAGGTTTGCCGTGGTCGAATACCCCCGCTCCAATGAATTTCCCTAAAATTAGGCTTCAAGAAGGAACCGGCGTGGCCCTAATAGGCGAGTGGTGGTTTAAAATGGGCGGGGGGCGGACCTGTCAGATCATGGTATTCCTGTTTTAGGATACTTTATTCAGATACTCAGACTACCCAGGCTATTCAGGCCCTATAGAGCTATAGTATAAGGAACTCCTCAGTTTTTCCTCTATTTTTTCCTCTCTTCGTTGAATCGGTGTTCTTCTGAACTATTAATTAATTCTTTCTTGATTGTTGGTGGCAAGACTCTATGTATATACATAAGGATTAGTCCTCATCCTGGTGCATCACATATAGAAAGAGTAGTAAAATATCAAATTCCCAGAGAAGGAATGATAATTCAACTGATTCAGTTCACCAAAGGTCCATGCTCAGATGAATAGACTGAAATTAAATATTTGGTGAATGAATGAACAGGACATATTTTCTTCCAGAAATGATTTGAAATCAGGTGCAAAGGCTGAATAGAAAAGTCTAGATGAAATGCTTTCTTTCTCTTTTTTATGATTGAGAATAAGATTTTTTTAAAAAAAATATATTATTTGAAACCTAGTTATTATGCTGCTAATTAAGTGGTTGTAATATCTGGATTTTAAAACACTTTTTAAAAATTTCTTAATAATGTTTTATTCCCTATACTTAAGATTTGTACCAAAGTTGCTTGTCTCATTTATTTCTCTCTTTTTCTGGCAGGGAGTACAAGTATCTGTTTGCAGCCACCACTTAAAGGACCCTGTCGGGCCATACATTACAGGTGGCACTACGATAGATATTCGCAAACCTGCAAGCAGTTTACATATGGGGGCTGCGAAGGGAATGACAACAATTTCTTAGATTTTACAGAGTGTTCAGAAACATGCAAGCGGATCAAAAGTATGTTATTGTTAAAAATTTCAGTTCGCAAAGCAAGTGTGGATTTAATTAGATAAATTATTATTGACAAGTTTATTTTGCTTACTTTTATAATTCCCATTGTTTAATTTATTAATTTGGTTAATAAATAAGTCCAAGTCTGAAACCTTATATGCATTATCCTAGAATTAAGTTACCTTGAAATGCAGCAGATTTCTTTGAGGAAGACATGGTTAGTAATTAACAGTTAAATGTGTTTTGTAAAGCTTACATGCATATCGTAAGATACTTATACTACTTTATTCAAACTTATTGAGTTGTTTAGTTTCCTTTTTGCTATATAATTTATTATTCAAGCCATTGTATGATTTCCTCGAATCTCTATTAATTATATGATCTAGGCTAGTCTGCCATATGCATTGATCCAGTTTTCCCTACTTCACTTCCCTTCAGTTTTCATAGACTGCAGTATCTATTGTCTATGGTTGATGAGTCCAACAGAATCAAAGTCTCCTGAGTTGTAAGTCAACCAATAAGAGAAAAGAAATATATTTCTCTTCTGGATTTATGTTAGATGGCAGGGCCCAACATTTTCATTCAGCCTTAATGACAGAAGCATGCATATTATGCCCAAAAGCTGAAAATATTGTTTACCTTCCTCTTGTACCATCATTGCCATGTGTGCTTCTGTTCTAGTATAAACTGTGAGAAGAGAAAACAATGATGGTCAATGGTATGAATCACAGACCTTGTGAAGAAAGACTGAAGAAACATGTATAGCTTAGAGAAGAGGAGCAAAATGGAGATATGAGCATATTCCCTTAAGTATCTGAGATTGGCACCTGAGAAAAGATATAAATCTCTCCAGTGCCAACTGAGCAGGACAAAATGAAATGATACAGTTAGGAGCAACTTACTGATAAGAGTGTTCAGTAATCAAGTCAGTTATTCAGAAAACTGAGTGGGTTGTTCTTCAATGGAGATCTGGACAACTATCTGTTGGGGATGAACATGGACATCCAGCATGTTATTTTATTTCTAAAAAATAATAATGCTGAAATTGTTCCAATTGATAGGAAGGAAGGGTTGAGGAAGTGACAAATTGACTAGTGACTAATTGCACACTGATGTATTTCCTAGATTACTAGTTACTGTAAGTTCTATAACAGACATGAAAGCTCGCAACAATCGTTTAATGTTCAATGTCTGCCTTGGCTTTGTTTTTATTTTAGAAGTGCCAAAAATATGCAGGCTCGAAGCTGACCCAGGAATATGCCGCGGTTACATTGCGAGATATTTCTTCAACCTCAGAACAATGAAATGTGAAAAGTTTTATTATGGAGGTTGTTTTGGAAACGAAAACAGATTTGACAGCCCAGACACCTGCATGGACTTCTGTTTGCCAAGAAGAAGTAATTAACATTTTATTACTAAGCAAACAACACTCTAGGAAGTGTAAGAAGAGCCAGAAAGCTGAATTTCTTCCCCTAACTTTACCTTTGTGTGTGGTCACACCAGAACTGGCTTGCTCTGACCATTCTAAAGGTTTCTATAGTAAATAAGATAATAAAGGTATATTGTTTCCTTCATCTCTGTTAACATTTTGAATGATAATGTAATATATCTCTAAAAGCCTTTTTCCTAAATTTAGCCCTTTCTTCTTACCTCAAATAAATCCTGTTTTGTATCTTTTGAGAATGAGATAAGCAAAAATATTTCTTCTTCAACTAGAGTTAGAGATGCTTTAATTATGTTTTAACCCAACACTTACAAAGTTTGGATGGGAAGATCTGAAACATTAGTTGTCCACCCCCTGGCAAATAGAAATGGCTTTCATTAAGAGGGAAGGAATGTTTCCATCCCTGCTTCCGCTATATATCAGCTATTGCTGTCAAAGTCACCTTGTAAACAAGTCTGTCCCATTCATCCATTGTTTTTTGAAAATATTGTGCTTTATTTTTGTCTCCAGAAATTTTGAAGCAATAATCTATTTTCTTGAAGTTAAAGGCTATTGATGATTTCTATCTCTAAGAATTTAATCAATTTCTACCTGCTTCTAGTCTTATCCTGAGTTGGTTTTGACCCATATTATAAGTACTAAATGAACTGAAAACTTAGGTTCTGAAAGGTCAATTTAGCCTATCATTTTAGCTGATCCTAGAAATCCCCTTCCCTCAAATCCAGATGTAACAGGTTTTTTTTAAAAGTTATGTCTGAAATACTGATTTATAAGATAAACTTACTGTTTTTCATAAAAGTTAAGGAAAGAATAGGCAAAAAGTATTTCATAAATGTATGAAGGCAAAAAAAGCATGTTTTCAGAATATTAAAGAACAATTACTCACTGGAACGACTTGCCTCCAGAAGTTGTGGGTGTTCCAAAACGGGAGGTTTTTAAGAACAAATTGGACAACCATTTATCTCAAGGATTTTCTGCTTCTGACTAGAAGACTTTCAAGGTCCCTTTCAACTCTGCTATTCTTTAAGCAGCCATATTCTTTGCAGGGCTAATGGTTGCTTCAAAAGTTTCTGAGTATGAATTTGAATTATCTTTATGAGTGTGTGCATAGATACTCAGACTTGTATTCAGTTTGGTTTCCTAGCAGTACCAAAAGAAGCGTATTTGTGTACATGTGCATCCAAACAAATACAAGTTATAAAATATCTAGCAAAGATGATGACTTCTTTAACAATTCTGGGAGGCATGTTTTAGTTCCACTAATGTACTTTATAAATCATCTCTTTGGAATGCTTGCACAGCTAAATTTTTACCACTACAAGTATGTTTCTCCCTCACATTTTCAAATATTTCAAGCAAATGAACTGTATTAAATTTACTTTTTTATTATTTGGAGATAATCTGAAATGTCTTTCCATATAAACCATCTGGAAAGAATAGGAATTTCAACTATTTCTTCCTTCCAAGAAAGATCATGGAATTCTGTTGTTGGAAAAAGTGTCCTAACTACCGGTAGCTTCTTTTATTTCAGAATGAAGGTGAAAGAATAGAACAGAATAGAGTAGAATAGAGTAGAGTGAATAGAATAGAATAGAATAGAATAGAATAGAATAGAATAGAATAGAATAGAATAGAACAGAGTAGAGTGTATAGAATAGAACAGAACAGAACAGAACAGAACAGAAAAAGAACAGAGTAACAAAGTTGGAAGGGACCTTGGAGATCTTCTAGTCCAGTGGTTCTCAACCTGTGGGTCGGGACCCCATTTGGGGTCAATCGACCATTTCACGGGGGTCGCCAAGCAAGGCTGTCCGCCATTTTTTTGTCCACCATTTTTTTTGTCCGCCATTTTTTCCCCCTTTTCCGGCGGGTGCCTTACCTCCCTTGGGCTGGGCCAGCTGGTGGTCGGCCTGCTCCGTCTCTGCCGCTTGCCAGCTACGCCTCGGCCGGCGCAGGGGGCGGAACCACGCATGTGTGGCGCTCCCGGGCAGGGAAAGTCTCGACTTATGACCAGTTGGGTAGTCCTCGACTTACGACCGGTTTAGTCCTCGGCTTACGACCGGTTTAGTCCTCGACTTACGACCGGTTGGGGTCGCGGCATTAAAAAGGTTGAGAACCACTGTTCTAGTCCAATCCTGCTCAGGTTCAGAAAGTTGTGTATGTGTGGAGTTTCTTGAATGACATAATAAGGGAGGATGACTGGAATTGCCTATTTTGCTTTACATCATGTACCTACCTTTTAGCAGTTGCAAAGTTCCAACTGAAATTCCTCTCTCAGCTGGAGCCTGGCGCTTCCACTGAGCCCTGACAGCCCTGCAGCTCCAGCCATCTCTCGCTCAGGCTTGTGCAGTGCTGCCACCGGTTCAGTTCATTCCCCTCCCCCGCTACCACTTTTCTAGGATGGTCGCGTACCACCTGCCAGGTGCCAATGTACAACAGGTGGTACCCGTACCACTGGTTGAAAAGCCCTGATCTAAAGCATGTCATAGACTAATGATTTTTTTCTTTTTTCTTTTAAAGCTGCTCCTTCATTTTGTTACAGTCCAAAAGAAGAAGGATCATGCTCAGCTTCAGTCGCTCGCTTTTATTACAATACTAGGACAAAAACATGTGAGAGGTTCACCTACACTGGCTGTGGTGGGAACAATAACAACTTTACCACAGAAAGATCCTGTCTCAAGATCTGCAGGAGAAGTAGGCTCCTTTCCTTTTGCTTTGGGGGGAGGGCCAGGTGATGGCCAAATCTGGCCCTAGGTAGCAACCAAATTGGAAGATCATTTAAAAACAATTTATCACAATACTTTAATAAAGTGGAATCTCCCAATGACGGGGGGGGGGGGGCGAACCTGGAAAAATAGCCTACATTCATTTTTATAGTTCGCACAACGGAGAACTTCAGAGTAAGAGTTGATTGATTTAGAAATAATAATCTGTCCATTTATATCATAGGAATTAAACCACCCAATAATATGTGAACATAATTGTAAAAAAAAACATTGTATTTGGAATAAAAGTAAGAAATGTTTGTAAGAGAAAAATGTCAGCGCTTTCCAGTCCTGGGCCTGAAATATTTGCTTCATACATGGAGGCATAAGAACAGCTGAAAACAAAACTTTTATCTGCAAGCTATTAAATGCTTTTCTGCCATGTCTGGTTTCTAAAAGTGAGGCTTTTCTTGAAAGTTAAGGCTTATGGCAAATTATTAGCAGTACTTTTGGAAAAGCAAATTTAAAATACAAGAAAACCCAGTGCATGTTAGCTACCCAGTGCAACAATACTGCAAAAAAATAATAATAATATCCAGTATTATAAAGTCCATATTGTATGACCCTCACAGGGGAGTGTTAGAAAGCAGAACTGTTAGTTTTTCTGTGAATATTCATGATTTTGCTCCCTATTAGTAAATCTGGATAATTCTTGATATCTTAAATCATACATAGCCATTTATTATTCTATTATTCCTACACTGGAAATGATTCTATTATAACACAAGTAATGAATATGCCTTGCCTATAGGCAGGCAAGATGAATCTGATTCACTAGTATCTTACTTCTCCCCATATAGGATGTTGGGACTGTTAAGAAAATTGAGGGGTATTAAAGGAAAGCACAGTCAGCCAGGAGTAAGGTGTAAAAAATTGTAGGGCAGCTGAAATATCTGATGTTATAAAGAACTACCAAGAAACTAATAGAGTAGTTTAAATGGGAGAATGTCAAATTAGAATTTCTGCTAAAATTCACTAATATTACATTTTGATGGTATAAGAGTTGAAATAATTTTGAGGAGGAAGAAAGATGTGATTCAAATGCTTTTAAACACTGATGCTTGTAGTGAATGGTGAGTGTGCAAATTGGGAACCCTATGATCCCTGTTTGTTCTGGATTTTGCTTGTCTAAGCCAGCTCTTGGCTTGCCAGGCAGAATAGGAGTAAGTATTAATAGTGATCTTTCTTTTATACTGGTAACGTCCCCCAGATTGGTAAGTCATCCCAAATTGCTTATGATCCGCAGAGAAGTTGTGCCCAACATTTTATTATCTAAATTAATTTATTATCTAAATTATTATCAAATTATCTCTGAAAATGACTCAGTCTGTATTTTATTCTTAATAGGAACAAGGAAACAAATTTTGTGAGACCAAAGAAATGGATGAATACAAAAATCTCTCCAGAAAAATGAATGCTGCACAGTTTTCTAAATCTGAAAATTTGAACTATTTGAATTTACTGGAAGCTATAATTTATTATCTTATTATATACAGAAAATATTATGATCATTTCTCAAATATAGGAAATTACTATTGTGTAATTCATTATAATACCTCTGAAGGCACAGTATATAATTATAGCCTCTTCTTCCCTTTTTTGTAATCCTTCCTCAGTTGTTGACTAAGTATCTGGGCTCTAATAGCCTGGAATAATTGCTGTTCTGATGGAGTGAGTAAAGGGAGGGAAACACATCTCATTTCTCAGTCTTGAAGGCAGCTGTGCTATCATGAGGCCTGAGGAGCTGACCTAACTGCTAATCAGGTCTGGTGTGGTGAAATATCAAGACAGTGGTCCGACTGGTCCAGTCTGATATAAAGGTGTTGGGCACTAGAGGCCTGGGATGGCATCCATTACCTCAGATGTTTGGCAACATGCTAGCAGTCAAACCTAAATACTGGAGAGAAGGAAAAGGGGAGAAAGAAAGGGGGGGAAAGTCTGTTCATGGAGTGAACGGAGTGGCTGAAGCGAAAGATTGTAAAGAGATGTAGTGCGCAGAGCAGTTGTTGGTTCCTAATCGAAAAAGGAAGAAGAAAAGTCCATGGGTGGCTTCTCTGGAAAAAAAGAAGTGAAGGCCCAAAGGGATGAGACCTTCCCCCAAGAGCTCAGATTTGAAGGAAGGCCTCAGCTGTTGGTGGCAAAGCCTTGGTTCATCTCGCAACAGATAAGCATGGGTGTTCAGGTGAGCAGTTCCAGAAGAAAGTCAAGCCACACTGAACACAGTAAATTCCAGTTAATTCATTTCTTTTACTCTTTCTTTTGCCAAATCCAGAAATGAGGGAAGAAGACTGAAGGAAAGGTGAAGGAGAGCTAGAAAGGGCTAGTCTCTGGGAGGGAGACCTAGGAGGAAACCTGGCACTGGGTGAATACCAGTACTATGTTGTATATTCTATTTATGGAGATTCTTAATCTCCCAGATCATGGTGGTTCCAAAGCTACTTTTCCAGAAGGTATCTGGACTTTCTTGGTTTTTTCCTTGAAAATGTTTTGCTTCTCATCCAAGAAGCTTCTTCAGTTCTGACTGAACGGTAGGGAATGGAAGGACTTATATTCTTTGCAGTCATCTGTTTGTCAGCACTCTGAGGGTTGGTCATTTAGCTTTCTGGGAATTATTAGGCCACTTGGGGGGTTATCTGTATCGTCTGAGTCACCAGAATGAGAGTGCAAACAGGTATGAATTTTCTTGGGACTGTTGTATATTCCGTTGTTATAAATACCTGCTGTGAATAAATTCATTGTATATGGTAAAAAAAAATGCCTCCACTGTTTTGTTTCTTTGTATTAATACAAAACAATACATCTCCAATTCAAAGAACAACCTCACCACAGTGTGGCAATGACTGTCCTTTCTTCAAGGTTGGAACTGGTAGAATTAGTAGAACATATCTCGTAGAGTAGTATGCACCAAATTCCCATTGTTCAAATCATGGTGCCTAGTTGAACCTTGCAGGCAAGTTTTTTTATGTGGCCGACTATGTCCTACAGATAGAATGATTCCAAACCCACATGGCCTAAACCCTGTTGTCATTTAGGAAAGAGTGGATTATTTAGCAAGTCCTAGAACAGGATGATTTGTGATTGTGCTGATACCTGAATTTGATAATCTAATTGTTCTTGGGGTTTCTTCTACAACAACAGTAATTAATAGTATTTTTTCTTGTTAATTATTTTTATATTTGTTTATTTTTTTACTATGTTGTACAACCCCTAGAATTGTCTAAGCAACTAAAGTGGCTCATAAATTGAACATATAAAACATTTTTAAAAATTAAATAGCATTTAAACTAGATAAAGATAAAAGAGAGGGGTTAAAGGCTGAGGAGGGGAAGCATTTAGTGTGTTTTAAGAAAGCCAGTGAGGTATAATCATTCAGGTGTTGGAAAAATCTGGGGAGACCCAAGTTTACCTCATCCAATCATATGTCTCAATAAGTAAATTGGGTCACTGGATGAAGAATCAGGGCTTTTTTTCTCATAGAACTTCCAGAACGGAGTTCCGGCACCTTTTTTGGATGGAACCTTGTAGAGTAGGCAAGGTGGGTTGTATGACGTGTGTGAGTTCTGGCACCTTTTTTTTTTTTTTTTTTTTTTTTTTAGAAAAAAAGCACTGCGAAGAACCATAGAATACAACCACCATGCAAAATATATTTCAATCCATAGAAGCCAATGAGATGTGGGAAGCATCCCAGAAGGAATAGTTCTTCCTAGTTCTCTGAAAGTATAAGTAAAGGAGGGGAGAAATTATTTCAAACACAAGATCTTGTTCATATCAACTTATAATAAAAGTAGTATAGTTACTCATAGTGTGTGCTTCTTTTCTGGCTTACCTTGAAGGGCTGACATGTAGGCTCATTATGAGGTTAAAATGAAGAAAGATAAAGCATCTGTGTTTTGAGCCTCTGAGAACAAAGGGAAGATTATAAAGCAAAGAAATAAAAATAACACTTTTTTTTCCCTCTGGCAACAACCAACCATATCTATTTCTAATTTGCCTTGTGTACTTTTAGTTTCCGGTGAATTCCACAAGACCTTTAGGGTTACAGTTCTGGTTCTTCCCTAAGTTCAGATGGGCATGAGTAAGAAGAAACTATTCTGCCTAGAATGTCATAGTTACTATCAGTATAGCCATTATAGACAGACCTACCCTTATTTCCTGTCAGATTAGAACTGGAAGAGAAAACATTGCTTGCTCTGACTAGCAACAGAACTGGGAAGAGATAGCAATTGAATTCATTCATCAAGCTAAGCCATTTGATGATATGTTTGATTTTGACTTAGTAAGTTGTGTGAAACCACTGTATTTTATTTAATTAATCACAAGCAAAAATGTGAATCTGATCAATCTTTAGAAAATGCTTAAAGCTTCTTATGGATGTCAAAGATTCTTAGCTTTCATTTATTTGTGGCTTTCCCCAAATTTGTAACAAATTAAGGTAAATAGAATGGATATAATTAAACTTTTAGACATTCCTAAGCAAATGGAGAATAAATTTAATTAAAAATTTTAATTAAATTTTTAAAAAGATAAATCCCAAGTTGACAGACTCAATTGCTATAAGGAGTGTGAAGCTGGGTATTAATCAGAAAATTAATTAGTTATGATGCTAATAAATATTTTTTATGTTAACTTCATTTCTGACCATGAAAATGACAAATATACTACTTTGAGGCAGCTGATAGACTTCTTTAAAAGCTTTCATTATTCAGCTGCTGCATTTTGCAGTATGTTTTAATTTTTGAGAGTTGAAATGGAATCATGATGACAGTGCCAGCTAGACCATTCCAGTAGTCAGAGATCCCAGTACAAAGCAATAATGCTAAAGTGGACCTGCCAATACATTTCCTTGGTATCCACAAAATCCCTCTTCTACCTTATTTTGTTTATTTTTTGAATGTATTTTAATTAAAAAAATCTGAAGCTGCTATTCTAAAGCAACCAGCCTCAAATATACCTTTTTTTGTTTTTATATCTCTTTCACTGAGGATAGTTATACAACATAGGCTATTTATCTGGAATTCCTTTTTGGACTTCCCAGGGCCTCTTGGTTCCCCATCCATGTCCTAACCAGTCCTTCTCTTTCTTAGCTTCTGAACTCAGCCACAGTCAACCAGTTGCTCCTTCTTCTGGTTTGACCTTGCCTCTGATCCTCAGGTAGCTGGCATTTTCTTAGAAAATTAAAAAGGTGGACAGTGACACACCATAACTTTGCCTACATTACTCTCTCTTTGAATATGCACATGTGTTCACTTAGCCACCATCACGGCAGCCATTTAATGAAGTCCCCATAACATGTATTAAAAATTCCCAATATGTGTATTGGTCCCAAAATATGATAATCCTTATAATATTGATTTCTAAACATAAAACAATTGCTTAAAACATGGAATCACCAGAAATACCTAAAAATAGCTATCCCTGCCCCCCCAAAAGACATTGTCGCTTAATCTTACACAAGACATTTAGCATGCATTTATTAATTTAACTGTATTCAATAAGGCTTTGGTAATTTTATAATGGAATGGTTATCTCTTCTTGCCCTTCATTATTTTTTTTCTTTAGAATTTCATTTGTTAATTATCTCTGCCTATGTGCTGGGTTATAATTCAATCCATACCGTAATTTGTAACATTTTATAGCATGTCCATGCTATGAATAAAACATACTGGAAATAATTGAAATTGTTTCTGATTTTAAGTATCAGAGTGTTGAATATTTGTTCTGTTGCACCTTGTCTCCTTAATTTATTGTTTCTGCAATCTATGTACATCTTTCATATGATTCAGTAAGTAATTCCCACAAAATTGCCTAATTACATGATGCACTTTTCATATTAATTAAAAATAACAAATACATATGCAGAGTTACAGTATTTGGTCCGGTGAAAGAGAAATATTTAGTGGAGGACTGAAAGAAATGTTCTATCACTTATTGTAAGTTCCTTGGATCAGTTCTGCTATATAGTTTGATTGAGATATTGTGTGCCACTGGGCATAAAAAGATGATAATGGCCTGTGGCCACAATGGTCTGTGTGGGGTCTCCATGTATGGTGATTTTTCCAGATTTTAGAGGAACTCCAGGAGATAAGCACAAGAGTCCCTCAGAACAGGGGCTTTGGGGCACCACGGACTAGGTTCCGTGGAGAGAGGTTTTTCTGCAGACTGGAGGATGCATGGTTTTATGTGCTGCCTGCCTCCCATGGATGGGGCTTTGCTTGTTTGTGTGGACGAGTTGCTGGCATGCCACAGCCCAGTACCGGTCTATGGACTATGGGTTGGGGACCCCCGCATCAGAACATTGCTGGAGAAACACAAAAGTTAATCTGATTGGCCTTCCTTAACCATTATCTTGTAGTGATAAGGGAAGCATGGCATAGTTATTTTTCTGCCCCAACTGCAGAGAGTGAATCAGTGGCTTTTTTAAGGGTAAGGGGAGCCCAGGAGAAAATTTTCAGGTCTACTGAAAAGGATTATTATAGACATATATTGAATAAAGTTGCTCAAAGTTGGACTTCAGCTATAGGATTCAATGGAGATGTCTGATGCCATCAAGGATTTTTACCAGTGTTGGAAGTTGCAGAGGCCACAATGAGAAAGAACAGACGTCAACTCCAAAAAGAGTACAGAGAAGAGCAACAAAGATGATTAGGGGACTGGAGGCTAAAGCATATAAGGAACGGTTGCTGGAACTGGGTATGTCTAGTTTAACGAAGAGAAGGACAAGGGGGGACATGATAGCAGTGTTCCAATATCTCAGGGGCTGCCACAAAAAAGAGGGAGTCAAGCTATTCTCCAAGGCGCCTGAAGGCAGGACGAGAAGCAATGGGTGGAAACTGATCAAGGAGAGAAGCAACTTAGAACTAAGGAGAAACTTCCTGATAGTTAGAACAATTAACCAATGGAACAACCTGCCTCCAGAAGTGGTGAATGCTCCAACACTGGAAGTTTTTAAGAAGAGACTGGACAGCTGTTTGTCTGAAATGGTGTAGGGTTCCTGCCTGGGCAGGGGGTTGGACTCGATGACCTCCAAGGTCCCTTCCAACTTTATTATTATTATTATTATTATTAACACCCAGAATGGAGTTCCGGCACCTTTTTTGGATGGAACCTTGTAGGGTAGGCAAGGTGGGTTATATAACATGTGTGAGTTCTGGCACCTTCTTTTTTTTAGAAAAAAAGCACTGGATTTAGTTACTGTTATGGCTCAAAGTGGAATGACTTTTGACCCCGGGAACATGGTATATTACTCTTTTTCTATATATCTATTTTTATAAATTGTGTTATTGTTTTGAGGGTTTTAATTCTCTGTATGCCACTTAGAGTCTCTTTGGTAAGATGGTTGGTTATATAAATTGTCTAAATAAATAAATGGACACAAGCACAGAACTTTATTGAATAGAAGCAAAATACACAAATAATTACCTAGCTCCTGAAATATGAATGCATACTAATGACCCTCCCAAAGGTTTAATAATAAACAGCAGTAGGTTAATGGATAATTTATTTTTGTCAAACATTTAGGAAACTAAAATAGTGGTCATTGTGTATTCAAGGCAAAGCAATAAATCCTAATCCTATTATAGTCACTGCCACATTATGCACATTGAGAATGAATTAAAGCTTCAGCCAATTACTGAATGATTTTTGTATCTTATTTTTTCTAAATTACAACACACCTAAACATTATAACTATTGTTTGTTATTTAATAATTATACAAAACCAAAGCCATGCCTCATTAAAAG